AAAAAAAAAAAAAAAAAAAAAAGATGGTGCACCTCCTTGTAACTGGACCCTAGGCCGTAGCCCATGCTGCCATGGCCCAGGGCCGGCCCTGCTGATTAACTCATACACCAATAATGATATGTATATGAGTTCATGACTCTTGTTTCATACATGCAAAGTTTCTCCACAGCCCTATAACTCATAACTTTGTTCCAGTAAATCTTACAACCTTTTTACAGCACACACACATACCCTCCTGACCACCGGTTCAAATTGTCCCATTAAAGCAGCAAGGTTCAAATTGTCTAAACCCGGTTGCAGGAGGCTCATGCACCCCTGGACTTGAAAGCTGCTCATACTCAATTAACTTCCTCCTCAGCATAAATTGTCTGCCAAAAACTACGCATACAGATGTCACGAGTATCAAAATCAATGACAGTTGTCACGAGTATCAAAATCAATGACAGTATCCAACAAAATTGCAGATTGGCCAAAGCCCGGGCCCGCAAGTCAGCTTCCTGGGTCCCACACGCAACAGCTCCACCTATGGTCCCATTTTTGTGATCCATCGACGGCCGATCAATGCATCCATGAGGGGCAAAGCTAGGAACCCAAAGAATGAAACCCATGTTCGCAAACCAGCATCCTTGGAAAACAACCGATGTCGAAAGAACTAATGCTGCTGGAAAACTGTTTGGACAAAAAGTAGAACATAAAGAGGATAGAAAAGAGATGCATACTATCATTTGCATCAGCCAGTGGTAATGGCCTTCAAGTCCTATGTGGTCGGTCGAGTGATAATGAAGCAAGAAAAGCTCCTGCCCAAAAACTGAGGCAACAAGGACTCCAGAAACTCCTAGCATGCTCTCTGATAACTGAGTCAACTCACTGAAAAGAGTGAAGACCGTGAATACAATAAGCTGGATGAAAATGGTGGTGTGCTCGATACTGTCGAGTTCGACCGAGAAGCGGAGGCTTTTGCTATTGATTATTTGGGCCAAGATTGCGAATACGGAAAATGACAGGATGAGTATGGGTTCAAGGTGATGTAGTTTCAATAGTGGAGATTTTAATTGGTACGAAAATCTTATTGTGAATTTGTGTGGCCAGTTAAGGAAGAAGGCTTTGGTAGTGTTTATGGTGTGCCACAGACCGAGGGAAGTAAGGGCCAGCCCGGGCAGCAGATGCCCCATAAAAGTTCCCATTGAAGTTTATGTGTTCAAATTTAGGACAATGATTATCCAAGTTGCAAGCTAAATACGACTTATATACTTGAAACCTTTTGAGAAAAAGACGATATAGTTGATATCTTATCAGCAGCTTGGTGCATGGTGCGTGTGTTTCCACAAAGAAAGAATTATTGAGGACCTTAGGATTTAAGGAAAAGTGAACATTAGGACGCAAAATATCGTCTAAATGACATGCAAGAGGCACTGACACTCAGAAAGCACAAACACACACAAAGACAGCAGATATTGAGATAAGAAATAGAGGGGGTAGATAGCCATAGCTAGAAGATTAATACAAAGAAACTAGGTTACACCACTTATTTTATGTCACCAGCACGAAGCGGAGAATAATGACCCCTAGACATTGATAGGAAAATAAGACAGCTCCACTAACTGAAAAAATATTTGAACATGAATCTTTTAAATATTATTGGGCGAGAGTTTAAGGAAACCAGGAACATTACCATTGTCCAAATAATGCCATGTAATGAAAGAGCATAGTCCACGGGCTACCAACCATCAAGATTGGAAATCCATATTCCTGAAAGGAAAATTTAAGTTTCTCCAGATATTCATAAGAAGTGAATTGGAATGAAGAGAATATAACTCATACACTCGTGACTAGACAATATGGTATATAACTTTTGAGAACCAAAAGTTGTTCAGATTACTTTGTAAGTTGTTGATAATACCATGCTCAAAGATCACCAAGTCTCCGGGCTTGAGAAAATACTTTTCAACTAAAACCGAAATTTTTCTCTATATCGAACAGCAGAGGCCAGAGGTTAAATAAGATTATAACTACCCAAGACAAAGATAATATTACAATATAAAATTAAGAATCGAAAATTAGAACTTTGCAGAAAAAAAGATAACCACTGGACGAATTACAATATGATCAAACTTAGTGATCTTTGGAACACATAACGTTGGGGTGAACATTCACTTATCATGAAAATGCGTATTTGCCAAACATTTTTCATCAACCAATCTGAAGAGAGATTCTATTCAGTTCAATTCATTTGAGCCAGGACTTGGAAGTATCACACCACACCCTAAGCCAGGAAAGCTCTTCAAATAAATGCCAGTCAACCAAAATTCTCTCAGTAAAACCTAACTAAAGTGCCCTCTTTTCTTTATCCAACAGCATGTATGCCCCGAGGGGCCTTCCCATTAGCAGCACCCAAAACTCTTCCATCAAAGAAGTATAAGTACCATTATAGGAAGTGATACTTTTTAACAAACCATTTCCAAAAGGAGATTATCGACATAATCCACCTACATGTTTGAAAAAGCCCGGTATAAGAATATTGTATATGAGATTGATAGGCTCAACTCCTAAACTAGCTTTTCTCGTTCCAAACTCTCATAGAACCCTGCATATCACAGCTTTTGCTAGAGTGCTAAAACTGACACGGTCTTGTTTAGCTACTCTCCTGTTCATGAAATCACGATTGCCACGGGCTTCTTCAACCTTACCAGCAGCACAACGACCTTGCATTATGTGATTGTACGTAATTTCAGTTGGTGCAACCTTTATTCTGATAGCTCTTCCAATAATATCAGCACTACACCTTTCGCAAATACCTTACAACTGAATCTGCCTCCACCTTTTTCCTATTAACCAACCCGAATAAGTATAAGTCGCCAGTTTGGCTTAAGCACTTTAGTAACATTTCATCATGCAGTCTGAAAGCTCTCTCTGCCTTACCGAACTGCAATAACCTTTTATCAGTAATCTGATTAGGGAACTGCTTCATGGCTTTCACCTCGTCCAGCATTTTCTCCACCTCTGTAAGCATACCCCTAGCAGGCACGTGAATGAACATGTTATAAGTCAACAGAGTTGGCATTATATCTTTCTTTTCTACCTCATATCTATAAAGCAAAGCTTTTTCCAGATCCCCATTGTTATAGCATGTATCAACCATAGTTTTAAATGGCGAATGGCGAGGCGAGGCGAATCGCCATGGCGAAGCCTCGACAATACAAGCCACCAAAGCTTAAATATATATAGTAATATCATACATTTAAGTATAAGTACCAAAAATAACATTAAATATCCTAAAAAAGATAATATAAATTAAATTTAGTTGTAATCACTAAAAAAATCTAAAACTTAAATGTGAATACTAGTAACATTACAAAGCACTGTGTAGTAAACATAAAATAGAAAAAAGATAAAGACGGTAAATAAGAAGTGTAAAATAAAAGTAAATGAAAGAAAAGATGCTGCACCCGTTCACCTTTGACTATTGACCATACTAGTAAAATAAATAAAGTAAAAAATGAAGAAAGAAGAAAAGAGACGGCAGAAACGGGAACGGAAAAAAGAGAAAGGGAGAAGGAAAAGAAAAGTAAAGCCATGCATCACCGGCTGTCTCGGCGGTGCGACATGGTGGTCGGAGTTCAGAGGAGGCCGGAAATGGGATGGGTTGGCCATGGGTTTCTGCAATTTTTAAATCCGAGAAGCCTAGGGAGTTTTTTTGTAGAAACCCTAGTTTGGGGAGAAGCCATTTAGAGATTTTTCACTGAATTTTCTTTCTTTCGATCTGTTTTAAGTTTATTCTCTTTCCAAAAAAGTGTCGCTTTTCTTTTCTTTTATTTTTTTTAAATGGACTACTGCTTAATTCCTCTCAAAGGCGCCGAGGCGCGCCTCACAGGCGCCTCTCGCCACGCGAAAAGGCGAGCTGAGGCGACCTGAAGCGAGCGCCTCGCGAACAGGGTCGCCTCAGGAAGTGGCGAGGCAAAGTGGCCCTCGCCTCGGTCGCCTCGCCCCGAGGCGTCGCCACCATTTTAAACTATGGTATCAACCAGACTATTACAAATCACAGCAGTCGGGAGCAATCCATGTTCTTCCATTTCCTGGAATTCTGATGTTGCCTCGTCAATTCTTCCCATTTTTTGCACATTCAGGGCTAGATCTCTTTTCCCCTTATTGTCTCAAAGACTATCAACCCCATCAAATTCCCGTAAATGTAACTGCGGTTAAGAGCGTACACTGATCACATTCCATTACCATCCAAGAACATGCAAGATTTTTTCTTTTCCTCCCGTTTCTCTTTCAATATTATTCAAAGGAAAGCAAGACTTGTTTAGAATAAGCATCCCTTGATTTGAAGTGTATCAATTGTTATTTTTTATTTTCAAAATTAATTATGTTTTACTTGGCTGTTGGCTCTTGCTGACATAAGAGAACAAAATTATGTGTTACCTAACTTTCATAGTGAACCATTAGAAAAGGAAGTATTTTCTGTCATAAAAGGAGAAAACACAAGAATCTCTGACATATTTATAGTTGTGGAAATTAGTGTTCGTACTGAAACTGTGCAGGCTATGTGGGCTCTTGTTTTTTATCTCAAAACCTAACTACACACCAAAATAAGAAATTTGTCTATTTATTCCTTCACGGTCAGAGGTTGTAACATGAATTCATGTTACCGTGTTTGTGATATACTTGTTTCTTCCTTGATACTTCATATGATAAAATATTATACAGGTGGTGCAAACTTATCTGAATTTGCAGTTTAAAGCCATGCATACATTCTGCCGTGTGCCAACCGAAGGGGCCGTGAAACTAAGGCACACATCAGCTGAGCCAAACAAAGCGAAGAAGCTCTCATCCCAAACACAAATCCATTGTTAATTGGTCAGAAATATTCTTATCAAAAATCAAGAAAGCAGCCCTATATTTTCTTGGCAGTAGGCACCCATCAACGAAACTTGAGAACTGCTTATGGAGTTAAATACAAAGTATTATGCCATTAAAGAGATATTTTAAGTTGGCACAAATTACAGCAAATGATTTTTGAGAAATGCTTGAAGGATAAACAAGAGGGAAGAACATTCATGGAGCGCGTTGGTAATTAAGTGCTAGGTGTGTGTACTTTTCAGTAGCTCAAATTCTATGCTACTGTACTAGATAACTGCACATCACATTGTCCTAATGTAAGAACTAACAATTAGTTCAAAATTATGGTATAATAGCAAACCCCTAATTATCTTATCATTTCAATTAAATATCTCAAACTTCAAAGTCAAGACATTGTGCCAATAGGGATGACAAGTCAAATCATCAAACCTTCACCAACATGGTGAATCAAAAACCTACTGAACAAGAACTTGACCACAAATTCAGAATTTACAATTTATCAAACTAATCGTCCTGCTCCACCGGTACCACATCAAAACATTCATCTCATGAACTCAATTCACTAATAGAAGATCGATTAACGATTTCAATTTGAGAGTATTTAAATCATCTCAAGAATGCAAGTACACTCACTATTAATTGTTTTAAGGGAAATCAACTATCACAAGTACATCAATCAAATTTCCAAGAATGGCAACAGAACAGCATCATTAAATAAAAGTAACATCAACTCTGCATTATCTCCAAATAGAAGAAAGAAACAAAGCATAAATGGATTCACAATCATCATTTCCCAATTCCAAAAATATTCATCATCCACTGAACAAGAATTCACACACCAACAGAAACGCAAATCCTAAACTCCCTTACCGAAAACGCAGCCCGAGGACAAAATTAGACAAAATCAAGAACTCACACGAGCTGGGGACTTGTCAAGCTACAGCCACCGGCTGCCGCTTAGCGGGCTCCATATTTTTGTCGGATTTATCCTGAAAATCCTCCATGTTATATATGACGGTGATGTAGAGCGAGCAGCTAGGGCACCGGGCGATCTCCTCGCCGATTCGAAGCTCCTCCTTGGTAATCTGAAAGAGATCGCCGCAGGGGCAGGGGTACGTGAAAGCCTGGAGCTCCTCGTTCCACTCCATGTCCTCGATCTCCACATCATCGTACGACATCGTATCGAGAATTAACGGTTTCCCTTTTCCAAGCCGGTCGGAATTGGGGGTGAGGGGTTGAGCAGCGTGGCGGCTAGTTTTGGGAAATTGGCAATGGTTGGTGGAGGAAATTTATATTGGGGAAGTATCTCTCCTATGAATGCATAGTTATCCAGAGTAATGCTCGCGGTGTGGCACGGTGCGGGTATATTATATTCACATGTGTCCACCGAGTAGGAGAACATTTCTCTAGTTATCCAAACCTAAATTCTCATAAATTTATGTTAGAACTATTATTTAAACAATTTGCACATACACAAAACCAAATAAAATTTTATAAGTTATTTTTATGTTTATATAATATTTAAAATCATATGTTAGATAATAAACATATCACATTTTATAAGTTTAATTGATAGTGAAAATAAACGATATAAGTATAAACTATTTAACTTACCACTACACAAAAATTGTTATATTCCAACGGAAAATCATATGATAATATATTTCAATGGGAATTCCAATAGGTATTTCAATGGTATAGCTTTCATTGGAAAGGTTCCAACGGAAATTCCAGTGGAAATATTCCGTTGGAATGTGTTTTTCATTGAAATTTTAGATGGAATTAATGATTCCAACGGCTATATTTCCAACGACTTTTTAACTGTAGAAATTTCTGTTGGAATATGCAATTTCCGTTGGAATTTTTATTTTCACCCCCGTTAGAAAATCCACCGTTGGAATCGTCAAAATCCAACAAAAATTCCAATGGAAAATTCATTCCAACGGAATATTTTAGTTGGAATTTCAGTTGGAATCTATTGAAAAATTCTAACGGAAATATTAATATTGAAATATCCGTTGGAATTGCCTTTGGAATAATTTTATTGGAATATATTTCCGTGGGAATTTCATGATTTTCTTGTAGTGTGCATATAAACTACTATATTAATTGTAATAATGTAATTTTGAAAATTTTGAGTAATTTTGACTAATTAATTAGATAAGAAAACTAAATTTATTATTATGGCAATTGTGAAATTTTAAGTGGTTTGGTTCTGTCAGAAAAAATAATTAACTACTTTTAATAAAAAAAATATTTAATGAGTTGAAAAATTATTTTAAAAATAAATAGGTTGTTGCGTGAAACGACCTCAATCGACTTGAACGACCTTGGATCTGCTCACGTTTGGTTCAAAGACCTGCAAAATAGGTCAGGATGATTTTCCGACGTTAGTACTCCGACGATCAAGTCAGTATATGGATGAAGAAGATGGGGAACAATAATGTATAAGCTTGTGAGTATATTAGAGTTAAATGGACATAACTTACCTCTTTAGATAGGGGTGTTACCTTGTTGCCCAAGATTGCCCGGATGTGCTGCCCAAGCGCCGAACTTCTCTTTTGTACTGCCTGAGTGCCAGAACTTACCAGTTATGTTATGTCATGTGGTTCAATCCACGTGTGGTTCTTACCCATTAGTTTGCCTTATTAGACGGTCTAATCATACAACTGATTCGACCTTCCTCGAGCTAGATTACCTCTTTGTTACTCTTACTTCCATCAAGTCGATCAATTGACTTGCATACCCCAGAGATCGTGTTTCTACCAGGCCATTCGAGGACCCTAGCTCAACCTATCGATGAGTATCCTTGCCAGCTGAGCCACCATCAACTTGATCATTCATTGGCCTTTTGTATCCTCGATCTTCAAACACCTCACTCGTTCACCTGGCTTGGTTAGACCACTTTTTAGGTCAAGTCGACCTGGTATGATTTCTTATATCATCTAGTCCCCCCACTCTTGTCGGGTTAGGATAACTCGATCTAAGAGTAATTTCGATTGTCTTCGATCTTGCTAACTGAGCTTGCAACCTATTTAGTCGACCTCCTAGGTCATTCCTTCTCTGATGAGGATGATTTCTTCTACCTAAGCATGATGGTTTTGGTTTCAAAATGCAAAAATTGAACTTTTGACATTTTTTCCAGCCTAATATCCTTTTGGTCAGCACGTCCTTTTGATGTAACCGCCTTGCAGTCCGTGTTGTCCTCGTGTAGAGCACCCTTTAGTGCCCCATTAATCATGTCCATCCAACTCACCTTTAATCCAACGGTTTATAGCAGCATGTCTTTTCAACTAGCCTCTTCAATCTCACTCGCTCAATTCGACTTTAATCCAGCAGGAAAAAGTGGTCAATCGTGGGAACGTAGGATCAACAACCAAGAAAGAAGGCTCTCCATCCACTTTATTTGACAGGGGCGGACTGAATAGTGTGCACCAAAATTAGGGTCGATATAATTGAGAAGATGATTCGCGCTATCTTTTCACCTTCTCAATTTTAAATTTGGGTAATCCATATCGACTTGCATGGACAGGTGAGATCAACCAACTTCTTCACCTCCTATGACTTTTCCTATAGATAGGCTCTTCAAGCCCTCGTTTCAAGATTTTACCCTCTGCGAAAATTCCCTCGTTTATAATCTTCATGCATCATTTCTACTGAAAGTCCGATCTCCGCTGCTGCAACTCCTCCATCGACCACCATTGTGCTCTTCAATCAGCCTCACTGCCACCATGTTGATGAGCAAGTGTGTGTTTTTATTTATTATTTTTTGTTAACCACTTCTATTCGTTCCATTTTTGTCGTGTTTTCCTTGTTTATCTTGCATTTATTTTTCCCCATTCTAGGTTATTTTCTTTGATTCTTGGTCCAATTTGTGTCGTGTCGTGCGTTTTCTTTATTTTGCTCATTTTTGGTTTTTCTTGTTTGTTTTTCCCGGTTTTTTGCATTTTTCTTGTCGGTGGTGGTGTGCAGGTTAGATAGCTCAGTTGGGAAGTAGCCATGTGAGGATTATTATCTAGACGGATGAGTTGGGGTCGAGTAGAAAAAGACGGAATCCAATTCCGAGTCCGGATGCGTGGATACGAGCCCGGAAATTGCAGCCTTGTCACATAAATCCTTCACCGCGGCCCGCGACTGTGTTCCCGCGGCCGCGAAGTTCACAAGAATCGGAGCCCAGCGGACAGAGTAGAAAAATCGTGGCCGCGGGAGAAGTCGCGGCCGCGGAGCACTCCTTCGCCGCGGCCCGCGAGCTTCTCCGAGGCCGCGGGAAGCGCGTTTTTCAGATTTTTATTAGCAGATTTTCTTAAAAACGGGATTCATTATGTTATGTTCTAGGTTTTGAATGTTCTTCGTATTTTCACTCAAAAACTCGTACTTTCACTTAGTTTGATCTTGGTATTCGATCTTGGAGAGAAAAACTCCGAGATTCGACTTTTGGATTCGGTTTATTCATGTTTTCGACATTGGATTCATTAATCGTAAGCTTTCATTTCGTTTTCTTATTGATTGAATGGCTTTGATTATTGTATTTGTTGATGTTGAATGCATTATGAGTAGCTAAATTCATTAGCTAGGGTTAGGGGATTATCGTTCCGGTTCGATTTCGTTTATGTGCATGATTAATTGCTCAATCTTTACGAGTTGTGCTTAACCTAGGGTTTTAGATGATTGATCACCATCTTAATCTAATTAATCGATCTTAGAACCGAAAGGAGAGAGATCGTTCGAACTAGGCTCGTGGAGAATAAGCTTGTTCGTTATGGTATTGCTTATGTGTTAGTTGTTTCAAGAACTATTCGTTTACGTCTATCCTCTTGTTACGAAGAGTTATTGAGGATAGACCTCTAGATGAGTAGTTTGTCGAGTCATTTAACCGAGCTCTTGATTGCTCGCTAAATGCATTGAGAACTGGAAGCGATTGTCCCCGATACCCTAGCCCCTTTATTCATTGTTGGAATTCGTGTTTTGAGTCTTGAGTTGAGAATTTCTAGTCTTATTTTCATTATTCGTAGTTGATAAATCAAACCCAAAATCGTGAATTAGAATGTTTAGGAATTTCTTTCTCTTTTCTTGTGATTGAATATCCGTACAAATAATCCGGCCAACCTTCCTTGAGGACCTGGTGTTTGAATCTTTAGATTTGACTCCGGTAAAAATACTAACAACGAATTGGCGTCGTTGCCAGGGAAGGTTTAGGATTTATTTTGTGCACCTATTCATTTTGTTTTTAGTGTTTCTTTTATTTCTTGTGATTTTTCTTGTTTCAGTGTTTCTCTTTGTTTCTTTTGCTTAGTTTTATAGTTCTTGATTTTTGGTTGTTTAATTTAATTTTTGTTCTTTGTTTATCTGGTGCTCGTGACGGTTTCTTGTCTTTGTGTATGCGTACCAGTAGTGGTCGTGTACTATCGCCTATCGACAAGCCATTCAACGAGAGTCTGAGAGAGCTACTGGAAGAGCTTACTCTCGAATCTCAAGAAGGAGACGATCATTCCCCGAAATCGTCCAAAGGCAACAACTTCGACATGGGTGAACAACAACAACAACCGCCTCGTAACACCCTCCGAACCTTAGCCCAGCCAGTTATCGGGCCAGTCACTTCATTCATTTGGTTGCCGAATCCCGCACGGAAAATGAGCTGAAAATGATTCACTACAACCAGCTGTCGGCATTCCATGGGCTCCCAAGCGAAGACCCGCTTAACTTTATCTAGGAATTCTACAATGTCCTCAACACCTTCCCTCGAAACGGGCTGAATGAGGATCAGTTGAAGATGAGGTTCTTCCCGGAGACACTGAAAGACCGGGCCAAGGCCTGGTTCATGACGCTTGCACCAGCTTCTCTAACTACCTGGACCGAAGTGTACACGAAGTTCATTGGGAGGTATTACTCCCATCAGAAGACTCAGGAGCTCATGTCGCAGATCGTCTCATTTACCCAACTACAGAGTGAGCCTCTTCATGAGGCTTGGGAGCGATTTAAAGATCTCCAGTGGTAGTGCCCTCACCACAATTTTTTGCCGGCACTATTGATGAATTGTTTCTACGACTCCCTCAATCAGAATTTGCAATACATGGTTGATAATGCTGCGGGAGGAGACATTGGTGCAAAGATGGCCGAAGAGATGTATGAGATTTTTGAGACGATGAGTGCTAACTCGTCTCAAAAGAGCAATGGAGGGAAGAAGACCGTGGTCAACTAGGTATCTTCTGCTCAAGACATGATGGCCCATCAAATAGCCGAACTCACAGAGCAAATGCGGCTAATGAATGCACGAGGAGGTCAGTCAGTGCAGACTATGACGATAGACACATGCGGGGCATGTGGATTTCAGGGGCATAGATCCGAGGTGTGCCCATCAGCATTTGACCAGGAGGTTGAAGAACAGTATGCAAACGTCAACAC